AGTGCCTGATGTACATACATGGCAACAAAACTTTTGATAAATCGAAAATGCAGGTTAACCAAAAACAAGTCAGATTAGATCAAAGAATCAACGTTTAAATTACCTAAAACTTATATTTCACCTGCTCCATGAAGGAAAAAAATCAAGTACCAGCATGCTAACGATGTATCTGATCCCGTGCATAGATAAATTTCAGAAAATGCTAATTGAAATTTACTAGTTAAAGCGGAAGCAGAAAAAGGAAAAAACTGAAGAGGTTTAAGCCATATGCAGAATGTCAGAAACCATCTGCAGAAACAATTTGCTGAAACAACTTTTGCATCTATGCCTACCTTTTCTCTTCAGGCAATGCTAACAATTGTTCATGCGTTTATGCGTTTGTTAGGGATGTCTCTGCCTTTAAGCACATTGAATGTTTTGACATTTTTCACAAATTTTTTAAGAAAATGATAAATATACTCTTTCCACATAATACTCATACGTTATTAATCTAAAATTTTACTAATTCCCAAGTTCTTCCTCTCTAACTGGAGCGGCTTGGATCTTCTTACATGGCCCTGTAGTTTGGACCCTACTTTTCGCAACTGCTGTTGCAGCTTTTGCACCATGTCTAACAACCCAATCGTGAACCGAAGGAGAAAGAGAGTAGCGAAGAGAAGGAGCAGAGGCTTTCTCTTATTTTTGTTTTTCTTTCGACTCGGTCAATAGGGCGGAAATGGAACGAGTGAAGTCCTCGAGCTTTCATCAGACGTTTGTGCCCCTTAGATTGGGAGACAAGGTCTCGTCCCCTAACCCACTCGTCACCTGAAGCAAGCCATTCTGCTCGTCCTTATCTCCCTCCGCCCCACCAACCTGCTCGCACTCATCACCTGCTCTCTCGTGGCGCGAAATGTTTTCGGGTAGGGTAATGGCGTAAAAAGCCGAATGAGGAAGCCGACCCAAACAGTAAATTTCAGCGCTGCGACACTGCACCGCAGGCTTGCCGCTGCGCCAAACGCAGCCTAATACTCCACATTTGGTAATTTTTTAAGTTTGTAGAGAATTTTTTGAGTTTGCATACAAGAAATCATTTAGAAACCCTGGTGGTATCTCTATGTACACTTCTTATAGTTCCTCATTCGAAAATATATTTTTTATGCTAAGTTGATGCAATCCCCATTTCTTGTTAACCACTGTTGGAAGAAGAATTTTGATTGTATTTAATTTGGCAACTGGTGCGAAAGTCCTTGATAGTCAATTCCACACGCTTGTGTGAAACCTTTAACAAGCTTGGTTTTGAATCTCTCAACATTCCCATCAAATTCACAATTTATGTTGAACAACCATTTACATACAACATGCTTCTTTTTCTGAGGAAGTTCAGTAAGATTCCATGCGCTATTATGCTTTAGTGCTTGAATATTTTCTTCCACTGCTTTCCTCCTTTCTACAATTTCAAGAGCCTTATGAATGAGTTTAAGAATATGCATACTATGAATGTTTGATATAAATGCTCTATAGCCCGAGGATAGCTTTCCATAAGCTAGATACTTTTGAATTAGGTATCTCAAGCAACTTTTCTTGTCATCAACACCAGAAGAGGAAGGGGATAACTTATGAGTACTAGAATTCTCCATCGAAATTTCATGTCAATGTGGACTTGGGTTGTGGTTGGAGCAGCTTGTCTTTTCAAGTTGCCTTCCACTTGCTTAAGATTTTTTTCCTTCTTGTGTACACACAATTCTTTTTGTGGATTTTAGTTTGGTTTGGTTGGATATCTTCAAAAGGAATAAGCGAGTTAGGTTAAAGAGTAGGTGAGTTTGCTGTGCGGTGTTATCATGTGCATCCCAAAATTGATGTAGGATTGATTTTAAAAAAATTGTGATATCCATGGAGTTGTAATATTTTCTAGTAAAAAAAGTGTATCACTTATATCTCTTTTTGTTGAAGGCATATCAAAGAAAAATATACTTGATAGATTTAGGCTTAAGTTTTGTATGGGTTGGGGAATGAATGTGAACAATGCACACCTAAAGATTTTATGTGGTAGAGTTGGAGAGTAAGTTTTGATGTGTGGATAGGTAACCCTCAAGACATGAAGTGGTGTTTTGAAATTAAGTACTCGACTAGATATTAAATTGATAAGGTATGTTGCATTAAGAACTGATTTCTCATAAAAAAATATTTTGAAACTTGATAAGTAATCATTATTGAGCGAGATTCCTCAATTAAATGTCCGTTCGTTCTCTATGCTATCTTATTTTTTTGTGGGGTATCAATACATGAACTCGCATGGATCATTTCATTTTTCAAAATATAGGATTCAAGGAGAGTTGAAATATTCCTTTGCTTTATCAATTTTTGAGGATCTGAATTTTGTTTTGAAATTTTTTGAATAATTTCATGAAAAGTTCGAAAGATTTGAGACGTTTCAGATATTTCTCTCATTACAAATACCCAAGTATTTCTAGTATGATTGTCAATAAATGAGAGAAACTTTCTAGCCCTACTTAAAGTTTTCACCTTTGGAGGTCCCCAAATTTCATCGTTGATACCAGAGAAAGGATGTGAGAGTTTATACTGAGTCATAGGATAACTATTTTTACCGTGTTTGGTAAGTTAACAAATCTCACATTGATAAAAATTAGGTTTTTATTGAAAAAAATATAATTTCAACTTTGCAAATTGTTTAAATTAGGATGAGCCAAACGATGACCTATTTTTCAATAGATATAGAATCAACACTAAAAATTTTTTAGGACATGACTGTGGGATTAGTTGTGTGTTTAGAGATATTTTTCATAAAAATTAGGTTTTTATTGAAAAAAATATAATTTTAACTTTGCAAATTGTTTAAATTAAGATGAGCCAAACGATGACCTGTTTTTCAATAGATGTAGAATCATCACTAAAAATTTTTTGGGACATGACTGTGGGATCAGTTGTGTGTTTAGAGATATTCTTTAACAGATATATGCCTTTATGCATTTTGCCATTCACCTTCTCCGATTCCATCATCTGAAATTCACATGAGTTTGCAAATTACTTAGTTATATATTTCATATCATGAGTAAGCTTTTTGATTGAAATTAAATTACAATCTAATTGTGGAACATTTAAGACAGATGAAAGAGTAATATTTTGAGAGAACTTCACATCTCCTTTCTCAATAATGTTTGAGTGTGCTCGGTTTACAAGTCTTACCGATCTTGATATAGAAGCCTCTTGATAGTTGAGTACAACATTGATGTCTCTGGTCATATGATCAAAGACTTCTGAATCTATGATCAAAGTTCTAAGTCTTTCATTTCTGCTAAGTTAAGAGAAAGATATATTACCTTGGTCAGTCACTAGGTTGGCATGCTGTTGTGAATCACCTCTAAAGATTTCAAGCTGTTTCTTTGTGAATGTTTCCTTCGATTCTTTGGATGTGGTATCAAAATTTATCTTTTCTTTTGATTCTTCCTTCCTTGCTCAGGTTTTTCGCTGTCTTTCCATGAAGTTTCCAACATCTGTCTTTGATGTGTCCAATCTTCTTGCAATAATCACACGTGAGACGATTCTTCTTGATGTTTGAGTCATGCGCAGAATTATGGGTGTATAAATCTAAACTTTCAGTGCTTGGTGAAACGCCATTTGAGGTCAGCATCAGCTTATTTCTACTCTCTTCTCTCATGACTTTAGAAAATGCTTCACAGAGGGATGGAGGTGGCTTTGTTCCAATGATCCTTCCTCTATTCTCATCCAATTTCCGAGTTTGCCCTACTAAGAATATGATAGTCCTCTTTTTCTTGATAATGCATTTAAGTGTTACGACATCTTGTGGACATTTCCAGTCAAACATATTTAATTGTAGTCAATATTTTGACGGAGAGTTGAAGTATTGGGTGACGCTTAGCTTTCATTGATGGAGGTCATGAAACTTGATTTCAATCTCAAACAACTATGCAGTGTTCTTGGTGGTAGAATATTTTTTTCTTGCAGCTCCCAAATTTCTTTGGTAGTTTTTTATAACAAAAAATTCTCACTTTAGCAGTCATTGAGTTGAATAACCAAGACATAACTATATAGTCTCGATTCTTTCATATGCAGTAGATGTGGTCAGTGATCTCAGGAACTGTTTCATCTACTGTGAGATAGTACTTTCCTTTTACCATTGATGCTCATAAACATGGATTGAGACCATGAAAGGTAGTTATGGTTGTTGAGCTTATAGTTTGTGGTAGAATTAGAGATTTCAGGAAGTCTAGATAGAATCCCCGATCTCTGACTCAGAATTGACCTCTAGAGTAGAATTTGACATCTTCATTCTGTACTTGGTCATATGTCTTATGGTAGCTTATTGTTAGAATTCTGGGAAGAAGAGGGAACTCTGGAAGCTGTTTTCTGAGAATGCAGGGTTTTGGCTGCTCGTGTCCATGCTGCAATCTCTTGAAGCCTGACAATAGGTAGTGAACTATGGACAGGAAGATACCTATGCATGCAGGGAACTGCAAGCAGGAACAGGATATTGCGGATCCGCATTTTACAACCATGTAGGAAACAATCGGGAACCCACACTAGGAACATCAGGAAGATACCAAGTATCTTTAGTAGAAGATGAAACAAGGGTTTGCAGAGGTCTCAGAACTCCACGATCCACGACTTTCCTTACTACTGAGCTATGTAGAGGTTTTGGCGGGAGATGAAACAGTGATTAGACAAGCTTACAGGGAAGTTGCTGCCCGCAGGAATGGTCTTGGAAGAACTCCGACACTGACAATTGCAAGAAGTTTGATGGAGGGCGTGCATGAAGACGTGGCTGTAGGGAGGATTCCAATGCTGGATGGCTTTTGGAGAGGCTCTAGCGGTTGAAAAAATGGTTCCAGGGTTTGTTCTTTAAAGCTTTGATACCATATGGAATTTACTTGGGGAGAAAAAATGCTTAATTGATTATTCACAAATAGGGTTGATATATATTGGGAAACAAATCACACCTTATTTACAAACTTATCAAACATATGTCAGCTAATTTAGGAATGAAATTAATTATGAATAAAGATGGAAAAAATATAAAATAGGAAGGAAATAAACCAATTTAAGGTTTCCTAAATATCTCATTCAAATCCTCCAAGATTTGGTGGTGTGGCCGGACCACTTGAGAGAAGTAAATATGGAAATGACCAAATCTTCTCAGATTTCCACAGTTTGATTTTATTGATATCAACTTTAATTAGTTTGAGTTTGTTCAAACAAATTTTGTTGGCTCGAGTTTGCTTGAGATCAAATCATACTGGACTTGAGATGGTCTTTGTTTTCTCAATTTTGGCCTGTCCATAGCTTAAAGTGGCTTTATTGCAAATCTGTTTTAGATTATTCTCATTTTAGAGTACCAATATGTGCTGGATGTGGGGTTAATTGATTTTACAATAACAAGGCAATGCACTGTGTTGGTTCTAGCCTTGTAATTAAAATGAAGGCTTGCTCATGGTCTGTTTTAGTTTTTCCGTGGTGCTAACCTTGTAATTAAAATGAAGGCGTACTCTTTGTCTATTCTAGTATAGTCGTATTATGAACGATTCAATCTCAGGCTGATCTTAACTTATTGCAAGTTAGAGTTAAGGCCATAAGATTTGATTTTGGTCTGTGCTGTGCTTCACTTGTATAAGCTTAAGTTGAAAATCTTGGAGCCTTGATCGTGAGTAGGCTTTTATTGGAGTAGAAAATGATCTGATTTTTTATTGCCTTTCTACCTAAGCCAAATCCTCAACCTATGAATGTAAGTGCATGCTTTTGCATGTTCATTCACGCTGCATTCTTAAAATTTGCATGCATTCATGCATATGTGTATTCATACATATATTGATCAAAATATGAGCTTAAAGATCTGATGTGCTTCTCATTTGTATGAGCGTGATATTAGCCATGCTTGTCTATTTAGACGGATGGTTTAAACCAATTATTTGCTAAACTTAGATTGTCCTAGAAAGCTTCGTTGTCCCTACATATGAGCTATAACTTTAATCAGATCTCCTAGAAAACTTTTGGTTGGCCTTATTCGATTTGATAAGCACTTTCGATGTCCAAGTGGAATTCACAGCCCTAGTTCAATTTGCTTTTCTTAAATGCTGGAATGAATTTATTATGCATTTAAATTTGTCAATTAAATTTAAGTACTCTTCAATTATTAGCCTTATTCGATTTCATAGATAGCTTCATTCTTTAACTGAAATTAACAGCCCTAATTTAGTCTGTTTTTCGTCAACGGTGGCATCGATTTATTTTCTTTTGAGCATTTTCTGATCAATGGAAGTACTGTTTCCTTGCAGAAATTAGATGAAGGTGCTGTGCATATTGTTTTCTCAAATTGCCTTGACAATTATATCAAATGGTGCAGCTATTTGCCTCTCCGTCCAGTTTGGAATAAGTAAGCGTATATAGAATGCAGCTTTTATATAAAATAAGCTTTTTAATGATTTCTGCAATTTTCCTTTAAATGAATTTTTTTTATAGCTTGGAGTCAGGTGGCAAGGAAAAGAAGCTTCTGTATCTTTGCTTGTATTTTTTGATTTGGGGAGAAGCTTCCAACATCCGATTTCTTCCAGAATGTTTGTGTTATATTTTTCATCATGTAAGTTGGTGCTCTTGAATTCTTTGGCTGTGTCTTTCTTTTGAAAAGATTTGAAATTTCTAATTTGTTTAAGTTTAGCAGAACTTTTGGCACGTTACCCTCTGCATGGAACATGGCCACATGCTGTTTGTGCTGTATCAATCATTTTTTTTTTGCATATTATTATTAAGGGAAAAATATATAGCAAATATGAATGCACCTCGTGCACCTTTATCTGCTTAGTTCAACAAGTCATGAAGCAGAACTGAATTTGGTCCAAAGAAATGCTGATTTAGAACTGGCACGAGCCACTTGGAACATGGAACTGTCTTACTCTTCTGTTATCTGGGTTTGAAATTGGCTAGTCACTCTATTACCAACAAGTTTAGTGTTCTCCGGATTTTATTTAACAGTCTTATCTCTTTTAACTTGGGACTCATGAAGTTGCTCTCATGCTGATGATACTTGCCTGAAAAACTTGTGAACTCCTTGAATACACTTACCTAAAGTACTTGTCATTCGTTTGGTTTTCTTGAAGATTTCATCCAATGGCATTTGTCTAGATAGTTCTCTTTTCCGCTTGAAGTCACCTTTGTTTTAATAAATTTATTTGACCTCCACATCTTATTTGATTGCGACAAGCTTAGTTCACATTTTTCTTTTTTTTGTAATTAGATCAACTTACCAACTATTTACCATCAACTTATTCTCTGCCTATCACTAGTGGGTTAGTGGTTTTATGCGAGCATGCAAGTTCATAGTGATAAGACAAAATCTCATAAAATCTCTCTTTTTCTTTGAATTTAATATGTTCTACTTGCCCTTTTGTGTTCAGAGGGGTTCCACTGAGTTCTTTGAACAATAATTTTCTGAGAGAGTTTTTGGACCTTTTCTTCTTCTTGCACCTTATTTCTTTAGTAAAGGCTTTGGCTTTTCTTCGAATGACAACTTTGGTACTCCATTTTTTGTGTAGCGAACAAGTAGTTTGTAGTAGGAACCAAAAAATGAATAGCTTTGATGATTGTGAGTGTTGATCACAATGAGTAATCTAATTAATTTATGCATCACTTTTGTGCAGTTGCAAGCATACCACCACTATATCTCCTTCCCCTCATGGATGAGATAATTGTGCCCATTAGGTACTGACTCCATCTAACTCCGAGGATAGCTAAAACGATTCTGTCTTTAGACGACGTGCCTTATCTCATAAGGATATACACGGATCGGTTGTCACACTTACTCTATTTACATTCTAGAGGTTTAGCCAACGCAAAATATTATGTTACTAGCACTAGATTTTACAACAGGTAGTTTGCTCTCATGGATTCTGTTGCTTATTTTGAGCAATTCGATCTTTACATTGTCAAAAACATGGTGAAATGCCTTTTGATCTTTACTACCGTCAATTATGCATCATTGTGGCAGTTTTCTTACCTTCTTGGAGAAAGTTTCATCTCCTTCGCTAATTTTTAGTGACAATGACATTGTTCTTGGGAGGAATTTAACTAGTTTGGAGGTGGTTGTAGAATAGCAAGGAAATGATAATATGCGAGATCGACGACGTTTAGTAGGGGATAAGAAGTGTTCGACGGCTGTCCGGGTTGAGAACAACAGAGAGAGCCATGAAATGCTGGCTCCAACAAGACATGGTAGCAAAGTGAGATCTGCCAAATGTTATTGAATAAGTTACAAGCACACCACTTGTAGAAAGAAAATGCATCACTCATTAGAGTAGAAATTAGAGAGTACAATATTTGAAATACATGAAACAAAGCAATAGTCTTCCGAACTAGGTCAAAACAATATGTATATACTACGACATAAATTAAAACCTAATTAAAAATAAAAAAAATTTAGGAAGAAGGATCGACATGGCTTGTACAACTCGAAATAGTGGGAAATTCCGACCATAACATTTCTATCGAGATAAAAACTAGTCATGTCTTGATTCCGCATTTACGGATTCAACATTCTGAGGTATAATGTGAGAGCTCCCGCGTCACTTACCTCGAGTGGGAGATGTTTTACCATCTTTTATTGAATCCCTCAGACCCCATTATCTTAGATTTTTTCCAACAAAACACATAAGGAGTTCCAAAGTTGTGGTTCACTAATGTCTAGCCATTTGTTTTTTAGTGCATCGTTGAACTAAACTGAAACTTAGTATCCATCTTACTGCCATCGTAAGTCTACCATTAAGTAATACTTGACAAAAAATTTGTGTGTTTAAAAGCCTAAAGGTGGACTTTATGTTGACTTGCATCGTAAGTCTGCCATTCCAAAAAAAAATAACAAAAAATAAAATTAGTAACAACTTGAAAAGAAAGTATCTATGCATGGTCAGTTGTTTCTATAAGCTGCCATACTAGCTAGAAGTTTGAAATATAAAAGAATCACAGTCAGAAATGTTGAAGTACAAATACTTAGGGTGCGTTTGTTTCGGCGTTTAGAACCGAGTTTCAAACTGAACCGTGATTTAAAGATGTCTGGCTCGTGTGCTTTTGTCGGCCCGATTTAGAACCTCTTTAGCCCCCTTTAGTATTCGTGACTGCGAGCCCTAGAGTGCGTCTTGCGGTTCGCAAGTAAAGGCTTCCGATTTGGCAGTTTGACCAATCGCGCCTTAGTGGAGTTCTTGCTTTCGCACCTGAGAGATCCCAACCTTCGCCCCCCTAGATTTGGCCAAAGCGTCTCCTTCACACTCGAGAGATCCCAACGAAGGTAAATTTTCTTCTCTTTTCTTTTGCCTTTGTTCCCTTTCTTGTTTCTCGTTCACACAGTCTTTTGCATCCAACCTGACAGTGCTAATGCACTATCTTTTTTGGGCTTCCAAAATGAACTTTGTAAGTTCTTATTTTCAACCTCATGTTTGTTGTAGTGGCATTAACTATGGATTTCCAAGTAATGATTTCTTCTCAAGTTCATCTGAAATGTTGATGCAATAGTTCTTTGCCATTTGATGCATGGAGTTTGTATCAGCTATTACTAATGGGTGAAGATTTTATGAGGAATTATTGCAGTAAAGGTGTATACAATCATTATTGCTGGTGTGATGCACAATGTGAGAGGATGAATCCAATATTTAATTGAAAGGCGGTATTCACTCTTCTTAAAGCAAGAAATCATCTTCATTGATTTCTGTTAGATGAGGTTTAATATATGATTGTGTTTGAACTTTAGTGAACGAGGAATAGGATTTGCTTCCTCTCACGTGGGATATTACATATATTGAAAATACTTATGAAATCTAGATAATATATACTGAGAGGTATTACATATATTAGTCCACAAGCAACACTTTTAAAACTGTATTTTTCAGACAGATCAATTACTTTTAAAACACTAGCTTTTGAACAACTGATTTTCCATAGCAGCTTCTGAATTGAGCTTTAGTACTGCCACAACCAAAACAAACACACCTTTAAAGAAGAGCAAGAATCTAAATGTAAAGAAATCCATTTTAATGTTCTAGTAACAATGTCAAAACATGGCTATATTCTAAGGATTTAAGAAGAAAGTAACAAAGTAAAAGACTTAAACTTGCTATATATGTGATCGGAGCACTTCACATTTCCTAAATAAAGGTTCTATTCTCCACTTTGAAGCATGTTTTTATGCTAACCTATGTTTAAGTGAAGTTAGTCACTTCTGATTTTGGTCTCCTCTAAAAGATGCTCTTTAACATGCTTTTGATGGCCCATGTTTTAGTATTTTCTATTTATATCTTACGTCCTTTATTATCGATGTATATTGGTCTCCTAATTTAATTTATATGGACATCTTTTTTGTAATTTTTTTTTTTACGTGCATACTGAGCTAATCTTTTTTGTAATATGGAGATCAAAACCATTCTGTTGTCTGTTGTGTGTCTTGCTTCTTTGGGTGAACTTGTATCTAAAATTTTCTCCTCTAAACATTAACTCAAAAACTTGCCAGATTGCAGTGTCTTTTGAGAGGTCCACATAATCATCTAGATGGCTTTTTTTCCAATCAAATTTAATGTGGTACATGTACTTGAAGCTTAAGAAACTTCTATAGTCATTGATTGTGTTTTTGATGAAATGTTGAGCCTCTTTCCTGGTTGATTTCCAGTTATTAGTAGCTGGTTTAGAATCTTTTGTGAGTTTTCCACTCGTCTTTTGAAGTATCACCATCAAATACTTTTTGAATATTTAGGACTGTAAGCTTTAGCCTAGCATAAACTGTTCCTCTTGTCTTACATGCTCTTAACTAAACGTTGTATTCCCATTATATTAAATATCTTGCTGATGCCCTCGTTAGCTTTTTGCATTTTTATATTGCTTTCTTGCTTATGCCCACTTCATTTATTGCACAGATGGCAAGAGAATTAGAAGAAATTCTGCGTGCACAGATCGCTGAGCCTGCAAATAGTTGTAAGTCAGAGAGTGGAGCATCTTTCCTTGATCAAGTTATTTCTCCTCTATATGATGTCATCGCAGCGGTTAGTTTTCTCTCTAACTTGCTCTCAGTTCTCACACATATGTAACTATTAATGGCTTCAAGGTTAGCATGTATTGACACACCATTTTTAGCTTTTGCTAAAAGGCTCTTATAAGAACATTAAAAAAAAACATAATTGCTATATAAATCAAGTAATGCTATTAACATTCACCTTTGGATACTTTTATTATTTTTGATACCTGGTTTCATATTGTGGAGTTTTGTGTGTACGGCATGATTTTAAGCTTTTGCTTTGTGGGATTAGTAAGTTCTGGACTTACGTGCTGTTGGTGGGGGTGGTGATTGTAATATTAGTCAGCTTCTAAATTGAACAAGACAAAAGAGGACAAAAGGTTATTGGTAATTATAATGTATCTAAAAGATAAAGTTGTCATTGCCCAACTTTGATTTAATGACCATAGGTCCCTCATTATGGGTAGTTGCATGTATGATGATAGTTTCCTATTTTATGAGCATATTTTTGTTACTTCAAAATGCACAAAATCTCAGCATCTTGTTAACCCTCACATCAACATTAGGCTTATATGAACTATTTGCGTTGGTTTTATGAAAGAAATTTGTTATCACTGAATGCTCTAATTGAACCACTTATTTCAGGAAGCAGCAAATAATGACAATGGGCAGGCTGCCCACTCTGCTTGGAGAAACTATGATGATTTTAATGAGTACTTCTGGTAAGCCAGCGGTGAAAATCCTTGGGATTTTTTTGCTTGTTTGCTTTCTCCATATTTGTAGCATTTTTGGTTCTTTTGCTGGTGTATTTTCATCAATAACGTGTTTATTTGGCATGATAATATTAACTTCTGTTTCTTCATCTTCTAAGGCTTATCATTTTTTGCTTCAATTCGTTTTTCAATTCATAGGTCCCTTCAGTGCATCCAGCTTGGTTGGCCATGGCGCTTGGGTTCGCCATTTTTCTTAAAGCCTGATAGAAGGGCTAAGGTATGTTCGCGTTGATAGTAATCATGGTTTTTTATTTTTATTGCTAATTAATGATGCGATTTTTGCTCTTCTTGTATTGATGAGGTACTGTTGACTCTAATCAATTGCTAACTCTTGATTCTAACCATACTAGTAATAAATTTTAGGTTGTTCAATGAAATATTCTCCCTAAAGCTCTTTTAATCATCTACATTCACATGTATATTTTTAATTGTCTTTTGATATTGTGTCAAATGCGAAGATTGCCTGGCTTGATGTTGCTAGGGTTGTCAAATTGCTGTAATGAAATAAATTGAGCGAACAATACTTTAATGTTCTATTAGTTTCCAAGAGTAAATCTGTGGTGCCATTCCTAAATATTTACATTTGATGGAAGCAAGTATGCCTTTTGGCTACATACCACAATTCCTATGTGTTTACATATCTAACACATAAACATTCATATTTACATGTATAACACTTAAATCTTTAATATCACATAACAATTCCTTTTTAAAGTGAAGTACACTTTTTCTTGCATAGTTTTATGACATCTAAGGTGATATAAGTGTCAATATCAAACTTTGGGGTGTTAGATATGTAAATACATGAGAATTGTGTGGTATGTATGTAAATTCCCCTACTAGATATTGTTGTTTCTTGATCTTGGCTGCATCTCTTTTTCCAATGTCTTTTATTATCTGTTCCCAATATATTTTCTTCTGATCTCCTTTCCCTTCCAAAGCTAGTGCTTCTAAATCGATGCCTCTCTCTCCTCTGTGATTTATTGATATGTCTTTGTTGGCCTAGGAACCACATAGTTAGCTTGTTGCGATATCTTTGCAAAATGATGTTAGGTTTTTGTTTGCGCTTCCAATGAGAATACTTGGGGACTAGATGGTTTTTTTTTAAAGAATTGATCATGGAAGCAAATCCTACAATCTGATATTTTTTCACTCTTCTTCTTTCCTGAGTTTTTGATTGCTTAAGAGAACGCATCCTTTTCTTTTGAGCTTCCTTATTATACAAGAGGGCTCATGTGTAGTTTTCTTTGAGGTAGATGCGTTTTTTTATATATTTTAATATGATTTCCCTTGATGGTAGGCTAGGTTTTATTTGATTTGGGGTTTTATGGGCACATACTTTCTTATTTAATTATTCTCTTTTGCTCACAGAAGAATGCTATCAATTAAGCAGATTGCTCATGCTCTAACTTAGACATATTTTTTGTTTGTTCATGGGAGAGCTTAGGGAAATCACATAACCATCAGTTTTTAATGAATTCAGTTTGTTTTGGAGGCACATCCAAGACAGTTGTTTGATCATTAAATTTGGTTCTGATTAATGGGCTTTTTAACATGGAACTAGCCTAAGCTTAGTTTGGTTTGAACTTACATCTATTGGAATTCCTATGAATGACGCATGCTTTTATGTGCTTGCCTACTTTGTGCTGACATTGATTAATTTCGATGGAGCTTGTATTTATTGGAGTGCTTATAAGTGGGATTTACAATTTTAAGGATGAGGAAGTTGATTAATTTGTTTTTTTTTCTTTTTCTTATAGTCATAGTGACATGATTAATTAAATTGATTATATTGATCCCATTAATTGATGTATTGTTTATACTTATTGGAAGGTTCATAAGTAGAACTTAAACCTCGAGGATGAGGTAGTCCTAAGAAGAAAACTTTTCTTGCAACTATTATTTTGAAATTTGTTAGGGATTTCAGTGCTTATAGTTCTACTTCTTAGAGGTCTATAGAAACTAGAATCTAGAACTTAAGGAAATTGAGTTACTTTTTTTTACTATGGCTTTTAAATGACGAAATAATGCTGGGTCTTTTGTTCTTGTATCATGGATGCTTGAATAATTTGCTTATAACCTTGCCTTCTAGGCTAGACAACCAAATGGCAGACCTGACAAATTTGCCTTATAGGAAAGAAGACTCGAATGTTGGGATTATTTGTGATAGCCCAAGCTTATTTTGGTTGGAGCTTACATCTATTGGAATTCCTAAGAATGAAGCATGCTTTAATGTTCTTGCCTACTTTATGTTGACATTGATTAATTGCGATCGAGGTTTTATTCATTGGAATGCTTATAAGTGGGATTTACAATTTTACTGATGAGGATGTTGAGTAATTTGTTTTATTTCCTTTTCTTATATTCATTATTACTTGATTAATTAAATTGATTATATTTATCCCCTTAATTGATGTATTTCTTATACCTATTGGAAGGTTTATAAGTAGAACTTAAACCTCGAGGATGAGGTATTCCCAAGAAGAGAACTTTTTTTGCAACTATTATTTTGAATTTTGTTAGAGATTTTAGTGCTTCTAATTCTACTTCTTAGAATTCTAGTGAAACTAGAATCTAGAATTAAAGAAAATTGACGTAATGTTTTTTAATATGGCTTTAAAATGACCAAGTAATGCTGGTCTTTTGTTTTTGCATCTTGGATGCTTGAATAGTTGGCTTATAACCTCGCTTTCTTGCCTAGACAACCCAAATGGCAGAGCTTACAAACTTGCCTTGTAGACAGGAAGACTAGAATGGTGGGATTATTTGTAGTAGCTTAGATGTATTTATTTCTTCTGTTATTTAAGCCACCGAACTTTCTAAGTTTTGAATGGGCTCTTCTTTGTTATCACTAACGTTGAACAATCAGATGGAGCATTTACTGATATCAACATGTTTGTTGATATTTGTTGAATTGGTTAAATTTCATTCCCTTTGTTTTTACAAAATTTGGTGCAAGTTGAGATGAATTTTACAGATTTGCATGATTTGTTTGTATGATTAATGTTCTTATCAAGTCCTTCTGTGGGTAAAATGCATGTTTATGCTCTCTTTAATTCCTTTTCACTGCAGAAACTATAAGGGATCCCATATCTTGTTATCATGGCATCTAGCATGGAACTCACTTAACAAATGCATTGCCTTCTTCTTGATGCTTGCTGGAAAACCTCTAAGCCTGTCGCAATTGCTAAGAAGGAAATGTAAAAAATAGGTTAGGAGAGGAATAATTCCCTTGATTTATTCACATGTAGGATGCGTATATATTGGGAAAATAATCCCTCATAATTTACAAACTTACCAAATATTTCTAAATTAAGAAATGAAATAATTCTGAAATAAAAAATAAAATACCATAGAATAGGAAGGGAATAAACTAATCGAGGGTTTTCTAAGTTGTCCCAATCAAATCTTCAAAGATCTTCTTAGATTTCGTCTAAGAGCTTCTCAAATTTTCTCTAGGATCTTCTTAGATTTCCACACTGCCCCTCAAGTTGGGTCGTAGATGGTGTAGAGACCAAGGTGAGATTGAATTAGAAGGTGCTTAATGGAAGAGCTTTGGTGAAGACATCAACAACTTACTGATATATCGAGATGTTAGCTTAGGTGTATAATTCTCTCATTATCCTTTTCATGTATGAAATATCTATCAATTTCAATATGTTTGGTCCTATCATGATCACAAGATTCTTGACAATACTGATAGTTGCTTAACTATCACAAAGCCTTTGTATAGGTCTATTGGAGGCACATCCCAGTTTCCTTAACAATTTTTGAATCTAGATCTCTTCACAGATTATTAAGGAAAGTGCCTTATACTCTCATTCTACATTGCTTTTAAAAATAACCGCTTGCTTCTTCTTTATTTCACCAGATTTTTTCATACATATGAGTAGTAAACTGTGGGGAACCTTCTGTCAGTGAGTTTCTCAACCCAACTAGCATCAATATAGATTTCACCTCTCTGTTCCTGATTTTCTCATAAATTAATCTATAATGAAGTGTCTTCTCAAGAAACCTCAATTTTATACACCATCTCCAATCCTGATTTTCTCATAAATTAATCTATAATGAAGTGTGTTCTCAAGAAACCTCAATTTTATACACCATCGCCAATTGCTCTTCACTTGGGTTATTCATGTGTTAGCTCACAATACTGATAAAGTATACAATATCTGACCTCGTACCTAATAGGTGAATGAGTTTTCCTACAAATCTTTGATATATTCCCTTATCCACATAGAAGCTTTATTCTCCCCTCTTTGACTTCTGATTGGAATCTATTGGAGTATTAGCAGGCTTACATCCAATTATCCCTGTCTTCTTTAGTAGATGTAAGCTGCATTTTCTTTGTGATATAACAATGCGTTTCTTGAACCTTGCTACCCCACATACCTAGAAAATATCTCATGGTTCGTAGGTCCTTGATTTTAAACTCTGTGTCAACACTTTTTTGACTTTAAGAATTTTTTTTTCATCACCACCAACTCAAATCATATCATTCACACATACTTTTAGTGTAACAATTTTCTCTCTGAGCGTGATTTACAAACAAAGTAGGATCAGCTTGGTTTTGAGAATACCCATTAGATTTCATAGTTTTAATGAATATATCAAACCACACCCTTGATGATTGCTGAAGCCCACAGAGAAACTTCTTTAGTTTGCTTCAAGCACTGGCGTTATCTTCATACACTTCTTCCAAAACTTCTTTTTGGAAGACAGATTTATGTCAAGTTGATGTAATTCCCATTCCTTATTCAATATTATTGAAAGGAAAATTCTAATAGTCTTAAGTTTGCCAACTTGTACGAAGGTCTCTTGATAATCGACGCTATATGGTTGAGTGAAAACTTTGGCAACATGTCTGTCTTTGAGTCTCTCAATACTTTCATCAGCTTTGTATTTGTTGTAGAACATTCATTTGCATCCAACGAGCTTCTTATCTCACGGGGGTTTAATAAGAATCCATGTACTATTATGCTTTAATGTTTGAATTTCCTCTTCGATTGCTTTCTTCCATTTTGGATTTTCAAGAAATTAATGATGAATTTAGGAATCCGCATACCATCAAGACTAGAAACAAAAGCTTTAGGATGAGGATAGCTTCCCATAAGCTACATATTCCCAAATTGAATATCTAATGAGGTTTTCTTTGTCACCAACATCAAAAGAGTAAGGAGAGGAGTCATGAGTACTATTAGATTATAACGACTATTC